TGGACTGTCAGATGGAAGATTATTGAAAGTTCTGTGATAATTGTCAAACAAACATCTCTGGCCTCATATCTGTGAAATGATAAGGCTGCCTCCTTGGCAGAGTTTCATGGTTACTGGCGACTTGTTTGCCTCTGACTGACCCTCTCCAGAGTAAACCTTCAGAGCATCCCAGTCACGGGGGATCTGCAGCTAGCTGAGAGATCTAGAACACTGTTTTTTTCCAAGTAGTTTCATTATAAATTTCACTAGCAAAAGTCATTTAAAGAATGAATGAACCAAATGGTTGTGATGGGAAATTTCATGTGTACTTTAGCACCCCAAATTTTTTTTCTTGTAAGAAACAAGCAAGTAGATCAGATTCCACTTTGCTTCTATAGGCAGTGAAGACACACTTCACATGGAGTGATGGGCCAGTATCTGAGACACAGCGTTCAGGAGCTGTGGAATAGCTTCTAGTATGTGAACTCACTGTAAACAGAGAGAAAGAAGTAAAGGGAAAGTCAGCTTCTCCTGGGGGGTGGGGGGAGAAGCTCCCTCAAGTGTCAGGTGATGCGCTTCCCCCCCACCCCAGGCCTGGGAGAGGAGGGACAGGGGTTCACTGAAGTGAGGTTTACCTTTGGAGTTTTGAATCAGGCATCTGTTTTTCTTTCTTCCTACCACCATCCTTTATAACCCTCTCCCTCCCTGCTAATCTCAGAACCTCACTTCCTTTATCAGTGGCCTCCGCTTCCGTGTGTTGCTTTTATTAAATGGTCTGTTATGTCAACGTTTCTGACTTACTTTACTGCACATCATTCCCTCACACGCCCTCCATTTCGCTGTGAATGGCAGCATTTCATCGCATTGAATCATGTGACTCTTACCTATTTTGAGATAATGTTTTTAAGTGAGAAATCCCAGTCTCTGGGCTGTCATACTTTTCTTAAAACCTGGGACTCCGTGTGTAGTCTGCAGTGCTTTGTGGAGCTGTGATTCATGTAGCATAAGGCCTGTCCTTTTCAAGTTTGCAGTGCGTTGCAAGGCAATGGTTTTGAGTGTTTCCAGAGTCGAGCAGTTACCGCGACCTACGCCATTCCTAGCACCCCAGAAGAAAAGCCCGTTCCCAGTAACCTGTCCCTCCCCCGCCCCTTCCCCCAGGTCCCTGGCTGTTTCTTGTTAAATGGAACCTGACAAAATAAAGAATTGTCCGACTGCTGTGCAGAGCATCTATGCCTTCAGCAATGTTTTGGGGTCCGCGAATCTGCTTCCCCAGGGGTCCTGATGATGCCTGTGATTGTGTGTGTTTGGAAACTACCAGCAAGACAGTGCCATCCATGCCGCTCACTGCGTGCAGGGCTGGTGGCGTGACCCCCGGTGTCTGGCAGTCAACAACCTGTGGTTACTATAGGGGAGGGGCCGCAGAGCGCCCTTTGGCAGGGCAGGCACCCCAAGAAGAAGGATCTCAAGCAGAAGGAAGTGGGATTGGCTGGGCCTGAGCATACTTGTGTTTTTGCTTTTAAGAGTTTAGATGCGCTATGGAAATTGGTTGTCCCGTGTGACCTCGGTGACTCAGATGCAGGGAGGCATAGCATAGAGAAGCCAGGGAGGATGCACTTGACTCGAACTGCGTGGGTTTGCACTTACAGCGTCTTCTGTCTGGATTTCACGGCCACCGATCCAACGACCTCAGATGTAGACGCTTCCCATATGGAGCGCCAACGAGCAGGGACTCATCTGAGGATGTGGGTGTCCTGGAACTAACCCCCGTGGATGCCAAGGGAGGACTGTAGTTAAATTTGGGGGAGAGTCAGAATTTATGAATGGATTTTCAACCCCCATCTTCCCCCCCCAAACCCCACATTGTTCAAGAGTCAGTTTGTAAATTTTCTTTCCTCCGGGGGGCAAAACAAAGATAATAATCTTATGAATTGGGATCATGTCTCTCTTTTTCTCTATGTTCTTAAAAAAATAAAACTAAAACTAATCCCTTTTATTTTGGCTTTTAATAGCCACAAAATAAAGTGTTATATGAGGTTGACAAAGCATCCTGAAGAATGATATGGTTCTCTATACAGTAGGCTTTGAGTTCGAATCACTAAGACAAAACTGAGATTCTCCTAGATTATATGCGTATGTATGTGTTTGTGCGTGTGTGTATGTGTGTGTGTACATGGGGACAGGTCTTCTGAGGGTACACACAGAATTCTGCTCTGCAGCACCCCTGCCGGCCCCACCCCTGCCATCACTTTCCTTTAGCTCCCCCTGAAGAAGGGGAGCTGAGTGCCCAGTGCGAAGCTGCTCTTCAAGGAGGCGTAATAATAGGCTCTTTCTCTGCTCACCACTTGGTAACAGACACTTAAATAGAAGAAATAAATGGTCTTCCAAGTTGTTGCAAGCAGGCTTTTCATTTCCGGGGAGAGATGCTCTCCGCCTTGTTGTCTTTACCAGAAAGTGATGTCTGCAGAGCCATGGACAGAGCAGGCTGTTCCCACCCAAAGGAGATGGCCAGACCTGGGGAGCCAGGCGCCTGTGCTTAGGGGTGACGGCTGGAGAGCTCAGCTCTGCTCCTTCTGTGGGGGTGGGAGCGGGAGAGCTGCATACACGTGACCTGACTCTACCATTTCACTGCTTTTAAATGTACAGGTCAGGGCCTCCAGTGCATTCAGCGCCCTGCAACCATCACCATTCCTTCCAGAACTTTCTTTCCATGGTCCCAAACACTGCCTCCCCTCCTCCAGTTTCCATCTCTGTGGCCGTGATTGTTCTGAGGGCCTCCTGTACAAGAATCACGTGGCCTGTGTCCTTTTCTCTGACAGGGTACGCGGATTTCTGTGTTTCCAAGGTTCATCCATGTTGTAACATCAGAATCTCATTCCTTTTTTAAGTAAGACCCCACTCTCAAATCTCGTGGATGTATACTTCCAAATCGGATTGTTGGATCAGATGGAAATTCTCCTTTTTATTTTTAAGGGACTTCCATACGGTTTCCATAGCGGCTGCACCGTCTGCATTCCTCCCGCAGTGCACGTGGTTCCTCTATCTTCCCCATCTTTGTAGCCTGTTCTTTTGTGGGTTCCCCCCCCCCACTTGTGACCCTCGTAATGAGTTTGAGATGATAATCTCACTGTGGCTCTGAACCGCGTTTCTCTGATGGTCAGTGATGTCGAGCCTCTTTTATGTACTTGTTGACCAGTTTGTGTATTTTTTTTGGCGACATGTCTGTTCAGATCCTTTGCCCATTTTTAAAATTGGGTTATTTGGTTTTATTGATGTGATGCTGTAAAAGTTCTTTAAACCCCCTTAGTAGATAGAGGGGTGCAGGCTTGTGTGTCTGTTTTGTCGTTCGATGAGAGTTGGTGGCCTTGAAATTCTACCCAGTCTTTTGCCAGCCCTGGACCACGTGACCCTGGCCCACGTGACCCTGGCCGCTCCCTGGAAGTAGTTGCACCTCCCTCGTAGGCCTGCTTGACAGAGTGCAGACTCCTCCAAGCCTGGCCTGTGAGCTCCTGTGGGCTCCGCAGACAGGGTTGTTACCAGGGTGGCGGGCGCTGCGCTGGGAAGTTGCTGTCTTGGAGTCTGGGCCTATGCTACAGCCCCTGTAACTTTGTGCCGAGGGTGAGAGCTGCAACTCCACAGACCCCCAGAGCAGGGCACGGCACAGCCTGCTAGCCGGTGGACGGAGCGTAGGTGGCGTCATCATCACACTGGGCTGCCCACTCCTCCCACAGTGCCCAGCAGACACCCTGTTCACTGTTGGTGCCTAATAACCTTACACAGGAGAATGTGGCGAGGTGTGTGTGCAGGCTGAGAGACAGCCTGGGAAGGAAGCTTCCAGAACAGAAGTGACTTCATGCAGAGTCCTGAGAGGAGGGCCTTTCACTTAGTGGGTTTCTTCCTTTCAAGAAGGAAGAGAAGGGGAAAAAAAACAAAGCCAAAGACCCCCTCTGCAGCTTCCCACACCTTCTTCTCATTAGCGCAGGCCTTTGCCCCCCCGAGGGTGGAGGGTGGGCTTCGCCCCTGCTCTGGGTGGGGTTCCGGTGTTAGCCAGGGGCTGTCCCGCAGCGCAGCCCTCTCCCTGCCTCACTGGCAGGCGTTTCGGAGTGGAAGTGTCCTTGGACCATGCAAGCGTTTGATCTTGAGGAGTTTAAAATTTCATTGGAGGGGTCAGTGTTTGTCTGTTTGTCCTTGAGGCTTTTTCTCATGGTTAATACTTTGGCAGTTCTAGAAAGAACTCACCCTCTCCTCGCGATCCTGCCTTCTCCCTCCCCTGCCCTTTCTCCCTGGCTCTGTCCCCCTGCCGCCACCTCCTCTTTCCACCCTTCATTCTCTCCCCACCTCTTCCCCTCTTTTCTCTCACCCTTTGAAGTCTTCTTGTTTTACAGAAAACCATATTTGCAAAAATAACTCCATTTCCCAAGTGGTTCTTTGGAACTTTTACACAGTCAGAAGTCTGCGAGGTGTGTGTGTGAGAGATCACATGTGCATGCACACGTGATCACACATGTTCTCACACGTGCATGCGTGTGCCATTGGCCCTCACACAGGTGAGCGGTTATCTCGTTATCCAACACAGTGAGCTGGGGGAGCCTGAGCAGGCCAGGTGCGAGCGTGGCACACACGTGCAGTCGGGGGGCGCTTCCTTCTCCCTGTGCCCCTTGTCTTGCGCCTGTCAGCGGCCCTGGCGGCCCCTCCTCCTCCGGAGGACCCCACAAGCCCCGCCAAGCACAGCCCTCTGTGGTTTCGAGGCTTCCTGTAGAAATTCACCACCTGTTTTTTTTCACTCATCTAAAGTCAGTTTGACCTAAGGCCTTTCAACTGACTTACCAAAGGAGGGAGTGAGGGAGGGTCGGGAGGCCACAGCAGCACCTCTCCACCGAGTGTTCCACCGAGTCCCTTGTAGTTTTCAGAAACTGTGTCGGGGCTGGACTTCCTGTGGCTCTGAGGACCGGCCTCCACGCGGTGTGAAGCAGACCCTGGATTTTCCAGAGTCCTCATCGCTGGACTTCTTTTCTGTCTTTCAGCTGATGCTTTTTTCAAAGCCGCTATCAGCCTTGTTCCGGAAGTGCCGAAGACCATTAACATCGATGGAAAGATGCGGCCGTCGGAATCCTTCCTTCTGGAATTCCTCTGCAATTTCTTTTCTACTTTGTTGATTGTTCCGGTACGTTTCCCAGATCGGCCGTCGGTGATGTCTTCCATGAGCGGCGTCATGTTTGGTCTTAGCCCTCCAGCTGCAGGCCCTATCTGGCGGTATGTGCGTGCCGGTCAGATGCTGGAATTGCTCAGTGTAGTTTCCATTCAGCATTCTCCCCACATGGCCAGGGAGTGGCCAGTGGCACAGACCTGAGGACTACGAAGTCTAGAGGAACGCCAGCTCCCCTCCTTCAGCTCTGCAGTCTTGGCACTTAGGAGACATTACTAGCTGCGGTCTCATCTCTAAAATGGGCTAACAGCGGTATCTCCATCTGTGGTTGTTATGAAGGTTGAAAGAATGTGCATTTGTGTTTGGGATAGTGCCTTCTTCATCCTAAGCACTGAAAAGGTGGTGGTGATACTGTTGATGGCGTGTACTAGAAACTGCACTGCAGTCGAGCTGGAGAGGGACGTAGGAGAGGGGCTTTCAGATTTTGTAGGGGAGACTCCAGGCCGGCCCCAGGATCCAGCACGAGGACCCTCACCTTGCAGGGGTCCTTCAGCAGGGATCCCCCTGCTCGCTGGGGGTCTGGCAAGGCGACCTTGAGTTGTGACGGGAAAATACTTAGCATCTGTTATTTTCACAAATACCAGTGAAAGTTGGCCTTTCACTCCTACAGGCAGTGAGCCCCAGCTGCAGCAGCAGTAGCTGGGACTGTCCCCGAATGAAGTCTCCAGTATGTTCACGTCGCATTTCAGGTGTGAAGATTGGCTTGTGCTTTTTTCCTCATAAAAGCACACGAGTTACTCATGCATCAAATGTCCACCAAGAGTAATAGATTCCAGCAGAACTGATGTATCGAGAGACTAATGGCTCTATTTTCGTATAGCTGGTTCCCTTTGTAGTCTTCTATATTTAATATTTTCATTACAAACAGTATTCTGAGGTGCCCATAGGCCTCACCAGGCTGTGACAGGGTCCAGGCCCAACATGGGTGGGTGACTGGTGAAGCTTAGGAGTCGGGTATTTCCTAAAATGCAGTTTTGGGGGCATCTTCTCCCAAGGAACCTCTCTCCGGAGATTGGGACTGGCCCCGAATCTGCATCTGTGAAAGTCCTGTCAGTGACTCAGGAGGGGGTGTTCTAGGAGCACACTTTGAGAAGGACCTCTGACCTTCGTCCATGAGCGTGACTCAGCTCCAGAGGGTGCCGGGTTCCTTTCTGGGAGATGAACAGTCCTGGAAGGGATGACGGTGGTGGTCACTCGGCTCTGGGTATGGGAACAAGCAGTGAATTGTGCCTTTTAAATGGTGCTTTGTTGGTGAATTTTGTCTCAACAAAGCTGAAAAAACAAAAAGTGAGTCAGTGCCCACTCCCCGGGGCGGATTCCAAATCCTCTGAGAAGGAGCAAGAGCCGGGGCCGCGCCTGACTCCAGGCCTCCCGCCTCCCCGTCAGCACATCACACTCGGTTTCGCTTTTCCAGTCAGTCTGGCTACTGGTCACGTGAAGGAACAATGGGAGGAAAGCGGGGTTTCTGGTGAGACAGTTGTTGAATGGTTATGGCAGCGTTTTCCTTCTACGGTTGGGCTTGTCTTCATGTGAGAAGTCCCTGGATGCCCATGAAAATCTGCCTCCGGTGCGTTCAGTCCTGACAGGTGGCGCCGCACCTGGGCAGTTTGTCACTCACTCCTCAGCCTCAGCAGTCGCCTCTCTGGAAGGTCCCCAACCTGCCCCCTCTCTGGGCGCTGTGAGGTTAGACGGAGTGTACCTAAGTGAGGGCTCCGTGACCTCACTGGGGTTACAAACTGGCACCCTGGGGCAGGCTGGCTCCAACCCCATGGACCTGCTTAGTGGCCACATAATAGTTAGGTGCGGAATTAGTAGCTAAATGCCCAAATTTTTCGTTCCTCTTGAAAAGTCAGGTTCCCCCATGTGGGGCCACATTATTTTAATTATTGTTTGTATTGAGGTAGCAGTGGTTTGCAATACTGTATATATTTGGGGGTGCACATTCACACCTTTTTGATGCGTGTTGCAACACCATGTCCACCACGGAAGTGCCCATAACCCCGTTAGTCCACAGGTCCCCTGGCTTCCCTCCCCCACCCACCCTCTCTGGCAGCCTCCATTCTACAGTCAGATTTCTCGGGTTTGTCCTGGTGTCATTACCCGTTTCCCAGTTTTGAGCCTCTGTACCCTACATTAGAGTGAACTCATTTGGCATTTCTCGCTTCAACTGCGCTCAGCACAGTGTCTTCATCCACTCGCTTGTCAGTGGGCATTTGGGTTGTCTGCACACCTTGGTTCCTGTGAATAGCACTGTAGGGAAGGTGGTGTGCCTATTTCTTTGAGGTCCTTGCTTTCAGTCATTTTGAATAAGCTCCCAGAAGTAGGGGTGCCAGGCCACAGAACAGTTCGAAGTTCAGTTTCTTTAGGAATCTCCATGCTGTTTCTCTAGCAGTGGTGCCATTTTGCTCTGTCAACACGGAGGGAGGCTTCGGCTTTCCAAAGCTCTGATAGGTTTTATTCCTTTAGGAAAAACTTCGAGCCACTTTAGACCCAGTAAGTACCCGGCCCCTTTACCCTTCCTGAGGAGCGCATGAGTGAGCACAGGCTGGACAGCCCTCTCCCGTGGGCACTGCCGGCGGGTTCGCACTGCTGGTAGGGTCCGTCTCTTGGTGGCGGCACGGGTCAGCAAGCCACAGGGTCAGTGAATGTTTCCTTTAATGACATTCGATGGGACAAGTAGAAGTTCAGTGTCGCAGTCTCAGAGACCTGATGTTGCCGCAGCTGGACTGCGTCGGAAATGGAGCCGCAGCGCCAGTGTCCTGGCACTAGTCCCCAGGGGCACGGCGGGGGCGTCTGCCCTGCGTGGAAAGATCCTGCCACAGGCATCATGTCCAGCATCACGTGACGTCCAGCTGCTGGGTTTCGTCCGCGCCTCCTAGGCCGCTGGTATCTGTTGACCTGGGACTTGAGTGAAAAGAGAAGCGGCCCCCACTGAGGAAGACAGGACGTTAAGCAAATAAAAGCACTCAACCGCTGCTGTGCAGAGGTCACGCGGGGCGACAGCGGGGAGCTCCTCAGGGCCGAGATTGAGGGGAGAGGAGTGGGCTGAGTGCACGGGGGAAGGGGCGGCCTCCTGGCTGGAGGGAGAGCACGGCATAGCTGGGGGGCAGAAGGACTGTGCATTGAGGGGCTGGAAGACACCCCAAGATGGCAGGTGCGTGGGGGAGCTGGAGGGGCTCTCGGGGCTGGAGACACAGATGGGGGCTCCTCCTGCAGGGCCTGGGAAGGCTCAGTGAGAGGCCAAGTCTCCTCCGTGGTGCTCTGTCTCCTGCCCCCCCCCATGTTCTCTAGTGTTCCGTTTTCCTGCTCTTCCCTCCAGCGCCCCTTACCCTTTTTCTAAAGGACGTTCTTGATTTAACCAACACTTACACAGCTCTTGCCATGAACCAGCTGGTAGTTCAAAAGTGTTCAGTCCCAACAAGCCTGTTGATGTCCTCATTGCACAGCAGCAGACACTGGCACAGAGAGGAGAAATGACCGACCCAGGGTCCTCCGCCCGTGAGCGGTCAAGACAGAATCCAAGCCGGGCTGTCTGTGTCAGCTACCATCTTTGCTGCTCAGGAAGCAGGCCCTTCCTAGGGTGTCCGGTGACATGTACTAGGGTTCTCACACACCAGGGACCTGAAGGGGTAGCGCAGAGGTAGAAGCCAGGTGGACAGAGGTTTGAACCCCTTCCAGGTGCCCCATGAACACAGCCTTTCTGGGGACACCTAGGTTGAAGGTAGGGAGCCTTTCCACGATGGGAGTTCGGCTTCCCATCGTGAACTGCCTCTGAGGCCTTTTTTACCTTGAAAAGAAATGTGTGCCTTCAGTTTCTGGGCCCGAGGCATCATAGGATGATTTTTACAAAACTGCCACAGCCACTGAAGCATGGATATCACGTGGAAAATACTTTCCTCGTTCAGAAGGTTGGAAATAACCCCTCGCCTCTTTGGTTCTGAGCAAAAGCGCTTGGAAATGGTGTCCAGCAAAGCCTGACCTCACCACTACGCCTCTCTCCATCTCTTTGAAGGTGCGTGAAGTGGGTCTCCACAATAATGCTGGCTTTCGTGTTGAAATTAAAGTTACTGGAACATTCAGATTATTGTTTGTTTCCAAGGCTGGCCCTGAAATAAAAAAAAAAAATTTTTTCGAACATCCACATAGCAGAACAAAATAGCCTAGTTGGAGACCGCTGTTCGCCAAGAAGGGTCAGCGTGAGCTGCCAATGGAGGCAGCCTGGAACTGGGAGGCAGATCGCAGCGTGGGCAGTTTCGATGCTTCAGATGTGAGCGTCACGTCTCCGCTCCGTTGCCTCTGTCCTAACAGCCATCCCCCCAGAAGTCAGCGGGACACGGCCTCTCACCACCAGGCCCTGCTCGTGAGGCGCTCACGTGGGGTTCGGGGGCTGTTCCCTCTGCGGTGGTTGCGCTTCCCCACCCGCTGCCTGCGGCGCCCTCCCCAGCTAGCCAGCTCCTGAGGTCAGAGGCTCCTCCTTCAGCGGGGTTCATGGGGAGGGAGCCCACCTGTGAGCGCTCCAATCCTGGCGCCCCAGGTACCTGCAGTGTCACTGTGGGATTCATTTCCCACAGTGAAACTGAGGGGCCGGGGCCATAGTAGTATCCTTCTGGAACACAGAGAAGCCATGGTAACGCCGCTCCTTGGTAGCTCTTGTTATTTGGTGAATACAGAAGGTACCAGCTGTCATCAAGTGGCCAGCATATGCCCAGCACTGCCCAGAGCAAGGGACAGTGTGCATTATTGGCAAACACAGCAAAGTCCCCTTCCTCCTGCAGGTTATGGCCTCATGTGCAAGTGAGAGAAACCGATAAATCAAGGGATAATACGGGTAGTTCACTGAGGTAGTAGTAACTTCACTTCAGATGCTGGAAGCTGCTCTGAAGAAAATCAGCAGGACGACTTGTGAGTGAGGGGAGGCGGGGGTCTGGATGAGGAAGGCCTGGTGAGGAGCTGACATGTCTGGTGAAGGCTGGAGACTGTCAGGGGCCTGTGTGGCCAAGTGCTGGAGATAAAGATTCCTGTCAGAGGGAACCACGGGCTGGGGGGGGCCACAACCGCCTCCCGCCACCAAGCGTCTTCTGCCCTTCATCCCATCTGCGTGGGAGCTTGGCCTCTGGGGATTGGGTCGCCTGGCTGCCTGCCTTCCTCACTTGCAGCTGGTTCAGATTGGAGGAGAGGGGCGGGGCGCGAAGCTGTAGTGCATCCAGCCTGGGGCCTGCCTTTCCCCCCACTTCCCTTCCCTTGCCGTGTCTCTGTAACCGCCCTTCATTTACCCCTGAGGTGAGGGTCCTCGGTGTCCTGCGGGACACTGGGCCTTCCCACTGGTCCTGGCGCCCTGAGGTGTGACAGGGCAGCCTGGATGAGGGGCCAGGGGCTTGGAGCAGCTGGGGCGGAGCCCGCCCCTCCTCAGCGGAGGAGGAGTCTGGTCACTTGTGCTCTCCGAGAACTGAAGCACTGCTGCTGACGTGTTTTGCATCCCAGCACATTTTTGACTCAGTTTAGCATCTGAGCAGCTCTCTTCTAAACTCTGACTGTCTTTGGGGGGTTTCGTCTCTTGAGAGCCTGCTCAGTTTAGCTGTTAATGTTGAACGCCCTAAAGAGCGAGGCTATATTTACCTCAGTGACTTTGGCAGTGACAGTGATCCCTGGGGACCTACCCCAAGTAGGTGGCCTCTGCTGTCCGTCTGTTCCCAGACCTGCAATCTAGCTTTTGTAGCTGGAGGAACAGGGATCGTTACCATGACCCACATAAGAACAAGATTGTTACTTTCAGAAACAGGCCATTAAGCTGACAGGTAACTGCTTTCTCAACCCGCCTACCCAGAAAAGGAGGCTCTGAGTGCTTGTCTGCCCTCGTGGGAGCTGCAGGCTGAGTGGGCTGAGCACCATTTGCCTGATTCCCTTTGTATTGTTTAACGGGGCTGGTGAGTGGGCTTTGCTTTGTAAAGTAGCTGGCACTTGACTGCCCTGCAGCTGCTAACGGGAGGAATCTGGCTTCTAGCTTGATGTCCCCCCTCCTTTTTTCTTTCTTCATACCTACCATCACTTGTCTCTTCTATTTTTTATTTGTTGGCTTTCCAATAGGATCATCCTGAACATGGGGTCCTATTCCTTGTTCGAGAGCTTCTCAATGTGATACAGGACTACACCTGGGAGGACAACAGTGATGATAGAATCCGCATCTACACCTGCGTCCTGCACCTGCTGTCCGCCATGAGCCAGGAGACCTATCTCTACCACATCGACAAAGGTAGTGCAGTGCCGCCCTCCTGCCCTGCTCTGCGCCTCTGAGAGCGAGTGAGGATTCATGGGGGGGTCGGGGGGGGGGCTGGTGAGCTTGGTTGTCTCCCAGCTGGGGGTGCCCCCCTTTGCCTGCTTGTCACAATCCCAGGAAGAGACTGAGAATGTGTCTCATTTATAAGCATCTGTGGTCATTTTGACACAAGGAGCTCTCCTGGATCGCTATCTCTGAAGCGCAACTCAGGAAATAACTTCCAGCATTACAAATTCCTTTGCTAGTTTTTGACTTGATGTAAATGGAATCTTTTAGCAAACATTCTGGCTTCTCTCCCTCATTGTATTGTTGAGATTCACCTATGTTGTTTGTAGTCATAGTTCATCCTTTTACACTGTTGTATAGTATTCCACTGTGTGAAGGAGTTGTGTACCACATACAACAATTTCAGCTGGTCATAGACACGTATGACAGTAGTTTTGTACATGGTTCTTGGTGTACATTTCTGTTGCATATATGCCTGGGTGAAATTGTTGACTCACGGGATTTGCTTGTGATCTCCTTTGGTCAATTCTGCCTTCACACTTTTTCAAGATGCTTCTCTCAATTGGCACTCCCTCTGTCTAGAATGAGGATTCCATTTTTTCCCTTGGTGTGGTCACTCTTTTTCCTTTCGGCTACTGCAATGAGTCTAATATGCATTCCTCTGGTGACCACTTTTCCTTTGTTGAGATGTTGAGACGTGCCCTTTGATGACTCTGAACAGTAGAGAAAATTAGGACATGGAAATGGGTCTCTACACCATCAGCCCTGTGTATCCGCAGGCACTCCCTTCTCTCCTGCCCTCTTCTCTCCTCTTCTCAGGCCGGGGCAGTGAACCTTGCAGCCGGGGCAGGCGTAGGAGCCAAGGAACTGCAGAGAGAGCATGGCGGCATTTGCTAGGCGGGGTCTAGTTTTCCAACTTGGAGAGATGAAAACAGGATGGGTTTTCGTTTCCTTCTTCTTGGCCCAGCTGTGTTTACTTTGGAGGCACAGTTGTGACCTGACAGTTGTCTTGGTAGGAGAGAGACCCAGGAGGCCTCGCAGGCCTTCAGGCAATGGGGCTCCATTTTCCTCATCCCTTTGTAATTCTAAGCTGCCTCTTAAACCATGTTGACACAAGTTAAGACTTCTGAAAAAAAACAAGATTTAAGGAATTTTTTGCATTTGGGAAGGATGACTTGACTGCTTGATGTCCAGATTAATAAGAAGAGAATGTTCTCAAATCACCTGGAGCACTCGAGTGCTTCCATGCGAGCAACGGGTAAGCGTGTCTGAGCTGGAAGGGAAGGCCGTTCCTGTACACTGGCCGTGTCTGTGCTTAATATGCAGATAAAGCATATCTGCTTGGCAAAGCACAGCCCAGGAGGCTGCTGTGAAGCCAGCCTAGCCCCCTGTGGCGTGTCACCTGCCAGGCCGTTGACGCTCTTGGGGTAGTGACCCCAGGGCCAGGCAGATGCAGAAATGGCGGGCTATTTTTAGTGGCCATTTGCCAGGCATATCATCTTCCCCCTGAGAACCATGTCTGGACTCTCCAGCGCACTCTGCGCTGCAGCCTGACTGACTTCCTCATTCCCACATTCACGCTTTCCCGCTCACCACCAACTGCTAGCCAGGAAGCTCATCTCCCCGCTCCTGGTCCCCGTTTCCAATCTCTCTAGTAAATTCAACTGTTAAGAGTTGGCCAACATCTCACCATCCCGCGTTGGTGCTCAGGCCCCAGGCTCCTGTGCCGCCCCTCCTGACCGTCAGCATACAAGCCTGTGCCTCAGTTTATCAGTTCACCCATGACTGTAGACTTACACTGGTCTCCTGCTGCCAAACAATGCAAGACCCCTTACAGGAAATATATAAAATAATTAAGTCTAGATTTTTGGGTGAAAAAAAAAAAAAGGGTGCTTAGGGAATTTTAAATTGGGAAATAACAGGGCGCTGCATCTCTAGGACTCCAGGAACAACAGATATCTCGCCCGTGACTTGGCCTGTCACGCTCCTTGAGGCCAGGGTCCCTTGGCTTTGTCGCTGGGCGCCAGCAGCCGCGCGGCCCTGATGGATGGCTCAGGGTCACCGAGGTGTCACTGCCGGCCGTGGCTCTCACCCTGGGCCTCAGCCATCCGCGAGCCACATGCCCTCTGTCCTTCCCTTGTCGTGTTGCCACTTGCTTGTGACGCAGTCTCACACGCCTGACTGCGTTCTCTTCACCCAGCCTCTGTGGAACGCCGCGCCAGAGGCGAGGCAGTTTCCGCCTCACTCATTCCTGAGATGGGGACAGTGATGAATGCTCTTCGGTTGGGCCAAGAAAAGCAGAACAAATTACATTCCAGCAGATAAGCCAGAGTGAACCTGGTTTATTAAAAAGTCCCTAAGGCACGGACCGGATTAGCGCCCTGTAGACAACCTCGCGCGCTCAGCTGCACCTCACGGCGTGGCCCTGCTGTATCAGACGCCGCCGTGGGGGCCCGCGGCAAGGCCTCCCCCAGAGCAGATGCAGCTGGGGGCTGCCGCTGCACACCCTCGGCCTGGGCCTGCGGGTGCTCGGGGCTTGCTGCGCAGTGGCGAGGGCTCCTGGGAGGAGGGAGCAGACGTGCTCACCCCAGGAGAAGGGACCGCTGTGCCGCGGCGAGTTGGCTTGGGGCTGGGGGGAGCAGTAACAAAGAAGCCTGCAGGCAGAGGTGGTAGTTTCACTACGACTTTGCAGCAGGCTCCCCCTGTATCCCCCCAAAGAGAGCAGCTGGAGCGTCCACAGGAGGGCCCATCATACAGTGGGATTCTGGTCCCCCGTTGCAGCCGACAGGCACATCTGTAGTGCTGATGTGGAAATAGCTACGGGCGCGTCACCATGTGAAGACAGCTAAATGCCGCGCACGGCAGCCGCTCTCCTTCCTCCCCAGTAGGTGTGCATTGTGCCAGGCCTCCTCGGGGAGGAGGGACGGAGGGCCTTGGTCAGACCCAGCTGTCCTTGTCGGCTGGCCTTACTTGGCCTGGTGGTCATGGGGGTGCCCCAGCCTAGAGCAGGGGACTTTCCTGCTTGGGGTCCCTCTGCAGGTGCTTTAGGTGGGTGACAGGACAGGCAGCTGGTGCAGTTCTTAACATTCAGGCTTTGCAGCGCAACTTCCCAGTCAGGGAGTCTGGCTATCGCTACCTCTGAGCTTTTTTCGCTCTTCACCTCACCTCCTGCCCCCACCTAAGGCCAGTCATTATTGTCTTTTTTCACACCATCTGAGTGCTTGCAAGCCCAGGGTCTTGCTGGGGGACGGTCACTGTTGGCAGCTGGCCTAATGGCTGCCAGGGTCCCCGCTGTCCCCTCCACGTATGGGCTGGAGGGGACACAGCTCCACACCCCTGGTCCCTGGCCCAGACCATCTGGAAGGCCAGGTGTTTCTCTGTGAGTCCCAGGGCCCCAAGCCCTGCGGGAAATCTGGGCCCTTTCCATTTGCCGGTGTCACTTCCTGGAAAGCCTGGGAAGGTCTCACTGCTGTGTTCTGGTTTGTTCCATCAGTCGACTCCAACGACAGCCTCTACGGGGGAGACTCCAAGTTCCTGACGGAAAACAACAAGCTGTGCGAGACGGTGGTGGCGCAGATCCTGGGGCACCTGAAAACCCTGGCCAGGGGCGAGGTGGGTCCCTCTGCCCGCTCGCACTCCTGCGAGCTCGAGTCTCGGTGGATGGACCCTAGTTTCTGGTTCATTCTGGAAACGGCCGTGAGCTCCTCCGTCGGTGCCAACAGTTCACTGAGCACCCCGGCCTCTCCCAGTTCCTCAGTCGGGTCACATTCCTCCTCAGCTGTCTCTGTCTCCAGTAGCTGGTGTCCGTCTGCACCCACCCCTGGTTGTCCCTGCACCCCTGGATTACATTCTGAGGTGTCCAGTGTCAAGCTCCTGGGACCCCGTGCTCTTAGCTAAAAAATACTTTCCTCAGATGTTGCCTCTTTTGCCTTTTCAGGGTGTTTCCGTATTCTCCATATCGCTAGATACCAATTCTGACCTGATTTCCGTTTAGTGCCTTCTCAGTAGCTCCCTGGGCCCCTTCCTGGTCACGTGGACCGCGGTCTCCATTTTGCAGCTTCAGCCCTGACCTGTGGTGGCAGGTGGACCCCCCTTAGGGACCTGAGGCCTGTCAGAGGGCCTGCTCAGGTTGGCAGAGATTGGGTCTGGATTCTTCTCTGTGCTGTGTTAAGGCTGCTTCCTGTGGGGGCTGCTCCTCTGCCCTCTGCCCTCTGCCCTCTGCCCTCCTGCCCTCTGCCCTCTGCCCTCCTGCCCTCTGCCCTCCTGCCCTCTGCCCTCCTGCCCTCTGCCCTCTGCCCTCCTGCCCTCTGCCCTCCTGCCGTCCTGCCCTCTGCCCTCTGCCCTCTGCCCTCCT